CAGTCACAAAACACAAATCCTGTATGATTCCACTTACATGAGACAACTGGAGTAGTCAAACCCCCAGGAAGAGAAAGGAGAATGGTGGTTGCCAGGGCCTGGCAGGCAGGGAGGGGAAATGGGGAGTTTTTTAATGTGTATAGAGTTTCAGCTTTGCAGGCTGCAAAGAGTTCTGGAGACAGGTTGCACAATTGAATATACATTGTGAGTAACAGTACTGAACTGTGCACTTAAAAATGGCTAACATGATAAGTTTATGTTATGTGCATTTTGCCATAATTATAAATAATTAAAAACAATACCTGAGTTTCTGGGTCCCACTCCTGACTTAATGAGCCAGAACCCAAGGCTGAGCCTGGGGAACCAATAATTTTAACAAGGACCCACAATTCATTCTGATGTGCATTATAGTTTTAAATCTGCTGCCCTAGTGATACACCACCTACATTCTGAATTTAGTAGACCACCATTTTCATTCATTTCATTCTAGCATTCCTGATCAAGGGCATATACTCTCAGCTGAGGAATTAGTTCCCAATTCACTACAGAATAGTCCAACTTACATAGAAGTTATTTATATAGCAATTTGATTACAAAGAGGACTTAGTTATTGACTAATCCCAATGATCATTGCTCTCCAAAGAGTGAGGCAAATTATAAGTATTATGCATCTACAACATATAGAAAAACCGAGGCAAAAGGAGATCAAGTGTCCAGAAAAGACCAAATTTGAGGAATATATAGTATCTTTTGGTAAACATTTCCTAATCACTGCATTGTGTTTACTACAAAAGAAATTCGAAGATGAATTCCCCTCTCCCAGAGTTCATAGATCTGTACTGACACCCCCATAACCTATGGAGATCAGAAACTTCCTCTTGCCAGCTAATATCACACCCCACACTCCATCACTTACAAGTCCAAGGCCAGCTTATTTAGCCCTCTCTTTCCTCAGTCCCTAATTCTATGAACACTATTTTAAAATATTATGCAGCTTACCAATGTTTATAATCAATATTTTAAGAGAGACTGGCAGTAATTAAAATTAGGTAAAAGAAATGTGAATCCAATTTTGAGACAGGTGAAGGAAAAACAGATGTACTAGACATAATATTTTTTGGAACTCAAATCAAAATCAAACCTTATATTAATTTCAGTTCCTACCAGATGAGTCTCCTTTTTATTTGACGAAAGAGCAGACAGATATCTTGGGTAACAGGTCAGAATATTCACATCTCAAAGAACTAAAATAAAAAAAAAAAATTTCCATAATACTATTTATTCAGTAAGAACATGAGATGAGTGCTGTGCACAAAACAAAATATTTTGAAACATAGAAGTCTTCAAATTTTAAGGAAAATGACATACAAGCACACGAATTGCCAATCTGGGGCATATGCTATCAAGTACACCCAAAACAGTATTTTTTACATGGCTTCAAAGAAAACCTATTGTTGCACAAAATTAGATTAGATTTTAATGTTACCACGAATACAAAAAGCCTGGTTTCTCTGAAATAAAATTAGCTAAAAATTAACATGTGTTAATATTTGTGCCATAAAGAGTGCCAAGAATATACCTTTTAGTCAAAAAAATTAACTTCTAACTGTTCAAAATGGCTCCTGGAGGCTCTTCTCTTTTTTTCAACATTACTCATGAACTCTAGAATATTGATTTTAAAGTTTCCATTTTGAGAAATAGTAACAAAGCATTTGTTTAAAAAGCCTTGCAAGGATACCATCAAACCTTCTATGAGAGAATATTAAATTGATTAATTTTAGGACTCATTCACCAAATATGAGAATTTACTTAAAACAATTCATCGAGGATTTAAGTAATTTACGTTATAAACTCTTCTAATATTCATGAATGAAATTCAACCTGCCATTAGCAAGTCTGTGTTTCATAGACCACTAAACTCTCAATAAAGTCTATAGCAATAAACTTCATGTCACATCTGTACAAGTAACTTCAATGCAGTGACTCCAGACAATTACCATCGCCACTTAGATGAAGAAAGTCGGTAAGAACTCAGAAAGAGGTAACAGTGTGAAAACAAAAATAGCTAAATTGACTAATGCACCCTTCTGTAGGAAGCAAACTCAACTTTTTGCTGGAGAGTGGTCGTGAAAATATTGCCAATTGATGAGAATATTGCTAGACATTATGTTGACTTGGTTTCTTGTCTCTGACGGGTCCCTTTTGCTTCACACTGGCGACTTTCTTGGTTGGCTCTCCTGTCTTGAATCAGAGGAGCTTATGCTAACTTTGATTTAAAAAGAGCCTATTTGTTTTTAAAGTCTGAAGAGATAAAACGTATGCTTTTAATAGTTAGGAGTGCACACATAGGCCCACACAAATACCTATTTCATATGCAGATTTTATTTCAAGTCCCTGGATTGGGACAAAAACTGTACTATTTATGTTTTTATGGGTTTGTGGTTCACAGGAAAATAGCCTTTTTAAGAAAACTGACATTAAGTAGTTTGAATTATGAAAGGTTTATAAATTATTTAATGGATTGAAACAGTATTTGCCATAAGTGATTGGTATTCAAAGTGAATTGTTATTACAATCCAACAAAAACCTCATACAAAACAATTTATTGCTTTCCACCATCTACTTTGATGGAAGCCTATTTTAGGATTTCCATTAATATATAATTTTAAAATCTAATTTTTCCTCAAAAGTCTTAAATCTGCTATATTTATGACATTATCAAGTAATTTCTAAAAGATAGCTAAAGCTAGATAATGATAGCCTGAAGTTTAATAACTAACATTTTTTCATTTCATAAATAAAGCACAGGGTTTTTTTAATAATACCAAGATATGAAATCTATTTTTACACATCAGAAAGAAGCACAAATGTTCCAAAGTCCATATTCACTAGTCTTCAACACAAATTTTACAAAACAGTACACCTACTGCATAGAAGAACAGATAAAAATGAGACAACCTAGATGTCCACTAACTTATAACTGTAGCATCCATACACTGTAATATTATATATATAATAATAATAAATTAATGAACTGTGGCTCCACTCATCTGCATGGATGGATTTTAACGTTTTTGAGCAAAATATCAAGTCATGGAAAAATATACAGTGTGACTCCACTTACATAAGATTCAAAAAGAGGCAAAACTATGCAATAAAAAAATTATAAAAACAAAGGAGAATGATGAAAATTTAGGACAGTGGTTACCTCGGGGGGAGAGAAGTGCACATGATCAAGAGGAGAGAGCGTGGCTATCAGAGATGTGAGTAACGTTCTACTCTTAGAGCAAGGTGGTGAGTACACGGGTATTTGTTTTATTACTCCTCCTTTCACTGTACACATACTTTCCACACTGGAGAAAATGAGGCATGAAAATGGTGACTGTATAGACAACTCTTTGAAAAGCACTGATCTTGAGTATAAAGGAATAAAAGAGTAGTAGATGAGAAGAAATGGGAATGTTTCCAGAGATTTTGTTTTGCTCTTGTTTAAGACATGCAGAGAGAGCATCTGAATGACAGAAAGGTTCCAGCAGAGGGAAGAGGCTGAAGCGAGAGCACATGTGAAGGTTTGTTTGCCTGTGAAAGGAGGAGCAGCACAACTCATTCAGGCAGAGGGCAACAGGGAAAGCTACGAATAATGGGCACAGATTTACACAGTTGATGACGGAAACGAAGTTCATCAGATACGGTGGCTCGCTCCTCCTCAATGAGGCTGAGAGGGGAAAGGCAGAGCTGGCTTTGAGAGGAAATGAGGGTATCAAGTGACAGTTTGGGGCAGTGAGACATAACAACTGACCACAGATAAATGCAGGTGCTCCCTTGGGCTTTTCACCTTCTATGTTTCCCTGGCCTCTGTCTAGAATATGTTTTCCCTTTCTTTTCACCTAGAAAATCTCCCCATCCTTCAAGGCTTCACCTCAGGTTCTACGTCCTTTGTGAAACCTGTTCTATTCCACGGCAATATTTTACTTCCCTTTTTAATCCTTACAGCACTTAACTATCACTCGTTTTTTACTTACTCATAAACTATCTTAGAGTAACTCTTTCGTGTTGTACATGGCTTCATTTTTTTCTGTGTGGTCTCCCTAGCTACAGTTCTTGAGACAGAAATAACTTTTTTTTTTTTTAGCACTGTGCTCCCCCTCTCAGAAAAATAGTGCAGTCTCATACAGTAAACATTTAGCTGTTCATTGTTCCATTTTTAAAATACGTCATCTACTTAAACAGATACTTGCAAAAGCAAAAGCAAAAAAAAAAAAAAAAGAAGAAGAAGACATGAATAACTGAACTTTGAATCCTCCATGATTTTTTTGTCCCTGCTTCTGGTTTTCAATTTTTGGTTTTAGAACTTACTTTGTAGAAGCCAAGCCACATCCAATGTTAACACAAAATCAGTTTGATTTTTAGTATTTTTTAAACCAATTGTTTCTACTCATTAAACCATTAAAATTTTTTCTTTACAACTTTTAATATGTTTCTTCATGGAGGTAGTTCCTCCATGAACTAGAAAATGAAGCAGAGTATTATCAGCAAAGACAAATTATGTTAGGAATGCCATCTTGTGGTTGAGAGTAGTCCATTACATTACAAATCCTCTGAATAACAATCTTTAATTCAGAAATAAAATATCCGGTAAATTCACAAAAGTAAATCATGGTTAAAATTATTATTACTACAAGGAAAGAAAAGCTAGCTAGATATGTGTGTTTTCAATTTTGTGTGACTTCAGTTGCCAAAAAAGATAATGTTCATCGAAGAGAGAGACCACAGACAGATTACATTGAAATGGACTCCAAATAATATAGAAAAACTGCTACCTCTACTATAAATATACTTCTATTAAGACTATTGATGTACTCTGAATTTTGGAAAACTTTTCTCATGAAATAGATAATTTTACTTCTATATCCACCACTAAGGTATGTTGATGATTATATCCTAGATTTAAATTATGTATCTTGATTTTCAAAATACATCACCCAAAGTACAACCCAAAAGGGATGGAGGAAAGGACAGAGCACTTATCTAATTTGGATGGTGCAGGACGCATATAATTAGTTGTAGTCCACAACGGGACTTGGAAGAGAGGTAAAAACACTGGCCGTGTCTTAACAGATGAACTTACTTCTTCTTCCATACAAGATAGCCATTTGAATGATAAATCATCTTTCTAGTCAATAGAAAACCAGTAATGGTTACAGATGTATTACTTAACAACTACGCTCAAATATCCTAATTGCCAAGTTGCATATCAGACATTCTGATCCACTTCAAAGTAGGGATGAGGACGTGAAAACTGATAAATCCCTCACGAGGGCAAAACACAGCCCAACACAAAGATCCATGCACTGTGCTACCGTTTTGACTTCCAGATTATAAGGTTCCAAGGAGCATGTGCAGGTACAATGTTCAGTTACAGAGATCAGGTTACTTGAAATTCCAAAAGATAATGGATCTACATGTAGATGTATTTACCAAAAAGTGAAAATGCTATTGTACTGCAGATCAATGTCTGGGATTTATTTTTACATGCCTATCACCAGGAAAAAAAAAACAACATTTTACTCAAAACATTGTTATACGAATTGATTTTGTATCAGTTTTTCCACCTGATTCTTCAGGACATTCACATCCGCTGCACAGACCTGGTACTCCATCTTCTCTTGCTGTTTCATTCTCTCTAATAAGGCTTCATGCGGCGGAGGCAACGCATTGTAGGAACTCAGTAAATAAAGCTGACTTGATGAAGCCTGGTTGATTTCTTTAATCTTTAAAGCCTGCATGATAGCAGGTGCAAACTTCGAGTAATGAGCCGTCGATGAGACAATCACTGGGCAAGTTTTGTCTTGCATTCTGTCTGCAACCACTTTTGCAACAGCAGTGTGTGGGTCCAGAATATACCCTGAAGTGTTGTAAGTGGAACGGATGGCTGCCAGACACTCTCCCTCGGAGCACCAGTCAGCGACAAAATCCTGCTGCAGTCTCTCCACCAGCATCTTCTCTATCTGGAAGTGATGCTGCTCTTCGAGCTGATTAAATAATTTTGTCATTAACTCACCGTCTTTATCAGCCATCAAGTGCAAATGTCGTTCCAGGTTTGAAGCTTTAAGAATATCGATTGCTGGTGAAAAGGTTTGTGTTAATTTTCTTTCCCTTAGATCGTAGTGTCCTGTTTTTATAAAATCGGTCAAAACGTGGTTCTGATTAGAGGCACAAATAAATTTGCGAATAGGGATTCCCATCATTTTGGCATACACTGCTGCTAAAATGTTACCGAAGTTTCCTGTGGGAATACAGACATCGACCGGGCTTCCAAAGGAAATAAATCCTTGGCTAACAAGATCAAGATATGCAGAAGCATGATAAACTACTTGGGGAAGCAGTCGGCCCCAGTTTATGGAATTAGCTGAACTTAAGACTGTTCCATATTCCATAATAAGAAAGCCAGTAAAATCAGAATCTCTAAAAATTCCTTTGACGGCTGTCTGGCAAAAATCGAAATTGGACTTGACACCCACTGCCCATCCATTTTCTTTCTGACTGCCAATTATTTGTGCTTTCTGAAAGTCACTTACACCGTTCTCAGGAAAAAATGTGGCCACAGCTATTCTTCGCTTATCATTCATACTAATACGGCTAAAACCGTTTAAGACTGCGCTCCCGGTGTCTCCGGAAGTAGCTACAAGGATCATATAGTTGCAACTTGGTGGAATACAGTGTGCAAAAAGATGAGGCATGAGCTGCAAAGACAAATCTTTAAATGACCCTGTGGGTCCGTGAAACAACTCCAGGATGAACTGGTTGCCTGAGAGGTGCCTGACGGGGGCAATTTTTGAGCAGGCAAAGTTTTCCCCATAAGCAGCCTCGATCATTTCTCCCAGTCTGGCAGCAGGTACGTCAGCGGGGTGGATACACTTTTCCAGCAGGATCTGGGCCCTTTCTATGTAGGTGGCTCCTACGAGGCTTTTCCACTCCCCACAGTTTAATTTCGGAAACTCTTTCTCAGGGACGAAGAGTCCACCATCAGAGGCTAACCCCTCGATCACTGCTTCGCTGAAGAATTTTGTGGAAACCTTCCGTTCATTGTCTTTGGGCCAAATGTGTCTCGTGGAAATGAACGTTTCTGAGTCCACATCTTGGTATCGTTTGACTGCACTGAGCACTTTATCGGCGACCTCCTCTGGGGAAGCCCCACTTTCACAGAAAACCCGGGTATCGTACCACTTCTTATAATACTGTCTTCTAAACTTCAGTAAGTCTTTCATAGGTGTTCCAGCATCCTGACCTACAATCCTGTCGATTTTCATTAATTTTAAGCGGCTGACTATATCTATCAGAGGTACATCCAGGTATACAATTATCCCATTTTTCTTCAGATGCCACATGCTAGCATCATGCATTGGATTGGACCCCGTAAGGGAAATCACACTTCCAGATGTAGAAAAGTTTAACACGGCTTTTCCTTCCTCTTCTAAAAATTGCTCGTTACCAACATCCTGTAATTTTTCAGACACACTCATATTCCAGGTTTTTTCAAGGATATCATCATCCACATCTATGACACAACAACCTAGTTTCTGACCTATTATTCTGCCTACTGTTGTTTTCCCAGCACCAGGCGGTCCCATCAGGATAATATTTTTGTCTCCAACAAGAGAGTGGGTTGAGTGCCATGACTTCCTGAATTCTGCAAGTGCAAAGGTTCTTGAAAGAAACAGCTGCACATGTTTATCCGTTCTAACATGTATACTAGAAAAACATTTCTGGGCTATTTGTTTCAGATGCGGACATCGGTTAAAGTGCAGCATTCTCTTCACTTTTCTGCCCAAGTTCACCTAAAAACTGGCTTTAGCCCTTTTCAAAACATAAAAACAAAAAAGACATTTGGTTACTAATTTCAACAAACTTAAAATCCCAAATAGGACTAAAAATAACCACGTCCATGGTACATAAACTGTTCAGAAATCTTTCATATGTATGGGATATTTTTTAAAGTATTCAAACCCAAATTCTCATGTTACATATTATCCTTTTAATAATCTTTTCAATCTCAAGCCCGAATAATCAAAACATTAAAAAATTGCAACTATAAGGCATGCTTTATTCAGAAAATGCCATATCATAGATGCTTTAAAAAAAAAAAAAAACATACAAATCAGATTAGTATTTCTTTTCCCATAATGAAAATTGTTTCTTGGTTTATAACCCATATAAACAAGGATTATTTGGAATGCTATTTACTTACAATTCATAAAAGCTGAACAATATTCTTTAATTTCTAACTTTAGTTTTACTAACATGCTGACAGACTATCATGCTACTCAGAAATTTCTCATAAAATTCACAACAGGAAAGTAGAATATTTGCTTACAAGATGCTTAAATAACTTTCCAAACTATAGGGCAAAGGCATGGCATTTTCTTTCTCATGTGCCTTTTATAAGCATACTGTAAGGGATCATCCTTTTCATATTGAAGGCCTTTTTAAAAAAATCTAAAATGAAAGGTATAATATTATGCAAATAGTTAAGAAAATTGATAACAGCAAAGTCAAAGGCTACATGTCTCTAACCTTATCTGCATGAAACTGTCACTTTTGTTTCTGTCCTCTAAACATTATCAGTGGAGACATGTAATGCAAATGCCAAACTCTACAGTGACAGCAATTAAAAAAAAAAAAAAAACCAACTCAGGAAGGTTTCTAAGGATGAGAGGAAATAATTATCCTGACCTCCAAAGAACCTCTGCAATTCCCCCATATTGCTCAAATACCTGTCTCTGGAAATGTACTCACCATTAAAACACAAACCTATGCTAGGCAAGTCAAAGTCTTCATCATACATAAAATGCAATTTAGTAACTGTTGCAATGTTCATTCAAATTGACGAAAGGAACTCCACAGACATGTAGTGGAGCTTTTCACATGTTCTGCAACTAAGCCATGTTAAATATCAGATGATATGCTCAAACACATTCTGAAAACTTTCACTGACTATCTGTGCTACTGTGTTCTATAATTAAACATTTAAACCATTTTAAAACTAACACTGAATTTAACTTACAGGTTAGATTAGAACTGTCAAGAGAAGGAGTACATTTCCTTATCTGGCTTTTCAGCTTGAATGTGCTGTGCTTAATTCCCACTGACTTGTAAACCATATGATACACAGGAACCAATCTCTGATGAAGAGTTTGTTGATGCTGAGGCAAAGTCAATCTTTGCAAAAAATGGAGTCTATAATAGAAAAATTTTCAAATTAATCATTACCGCATACAATGTTACAAAATTCCACACAGACTGTTCTATTATTAAAATATCCACCTGAAAAATTTAAAGTCTAGAGAAAGAATGAATTGACCCTTTTCATGTTTCCCCAAATCTATTATTAAAAGATTAAGATATACTGTTTTTTTAACATCTGTGTCTTATAATAGAAAAGAAATTTCATTAAACAGTACTGAAGGAGTTTCTTCCACCAAGCAATATGAAAGACAGTAATATAACCAAATAAGAGCAAATATAAAATCTCTCACAATGACACCTGAAATTTTAATTACTTAACTGGATGTTTAGTGATGAGAGAAAAATTTAAATCAGTGGACTAAAGCTATGAAATGGGTGAATTACTCTTGTAGGTTTTTTTGGTTTTTGTTTTTAAAGATTTTATTTATTTACTTGACAGAGAGAGATCACAAGTAGGCCGAGCAGCAGACAGGGAGAGGGGGAAGCAGGTTCCCTGATGAGCAGAGAGCCTGATGCGGGGCTTGATCCCAGGACCCTGAGATCATGACCTGAGCCGAAGACAGAGGCTTAACCCACTGGGCTGCCCAGGTGCCCCTCTTGTAGGTTGTTTTATCTATCTGAGTCACTACATGATTTGTATGTAATAATATTTACCATAAAAAAGCACAAAGAAAGTGTCTGCTACACACAAGTATCCCTTGTCTATTTAATTGAGTTTATAATAAATTCAAAACACATAACAAAGTGGTTGGCACATAAGAGTATTCTCATATATAGTCATATTATTGTCACTCAATGACAATGGACCAAAAACATATAAATTGAATCAGAATATCTAGACTCAAGGCTAGGTGTATTTTTTCATGATTTGGTTAGTTTATAAGCCTTCAGAAAAATATGGGTACTTACCATGATCAAGAACTGTTTTGCTATATACAGTCTAATTCCTTCCCTGTCATAAACCAAGGATCAGAGAAGTATACACTTGAACCATATCAGTAATGTCTTTTATTAAACTGTATTCTAGTATAGTACTTTAATACCAGCTAGTTGTTTTTTTTTTAAGTTTTTTTTTTATTTATTTGACAGACAGATCACAAGTAGGCAGAGAGAGAGAGGAGGAGGAGGCAGGCTCTCTGCTGAGCAGACAGCCCGATGCGGGACTCGATCCCAGGACCCTGAGATCATGACCTGAGCCGAAGGCAGAGGCTTTAACCACTGAGCCACCCAGGCGCCCCTACCAGCTAGTTTTCTTGGCGGAAGGGGAACACTTTATAAAAACCACCTGACTCACGTGCTATTCAGGAGTGTGTGCTCTTTTTCAGTTCCCAGTGCATACCTTTCTACTGTCTGTAGTAGCAATAATTGTAGTATTACCTGAATAGCTGGTTGGTTTTTCTGGACATTGAATTTTTTAACTGATCTTTTTCACTTTGTGTTGGTTGCTACAATGTTTACCATCAATTCCATTAAAAGCGGAAGACTGTAACACAAACATTACGCATTGATTGCATATCTTTTATAATCTTAGTTTTCCTTTATTTTATATGAATTAAAAATAGAAAATTATGACAGTTTAATTTAATTTAGTTTATCATTTTACAAAATCTTCCTGAAAATAGAATTCAGTTGTTAAAGGGCTATAATATGTAACAAATATTGCCATTTTTTGAGAAAAATAAAGAAGATGAATTCTACTTTAAGTAACATACTAAATTTTGTTTCATAACATTTTAGCCACGAATTAATTTTAAGGCTTCAACATCCACTGTAAGCAAACCAAAAGACAAGATGGAATAATATCTGCAGTATGTAACTTTCATCTAGAAACTAAGTCTTTACTTAGGAGGTTATACACTCAATTCCCATTATTCATGGTATTATGTTCTTTTTTTTTTTAATTTTTTTTTTTAAGGTTTTACTTATTTATTTGTCAGAGAGACAGAGAGAGTACAGGCAGGCAGAGTGGCCGGCAGAGGGAGATGCAGGCTCCCTGTGGAGCAAGGAGCCCGATGTGGGACTTGATGTGGTCCCCGATGTGGGACCCTGGGATCTTGACCTGAGCAGAAGGCAGCCGCTTAACCGACTGAGCCACCCAGGCGTCCCTTACGGTGTTATGTTCTATAAAGTCATCATGAATACTGAATTAGTGAACAGTGAATATTCCCATTACTCCTAGGGGAAATACAGGGTTAGGTTTCTGTGAGCCTCAGGTCACATTTTTTGCCAACTGATCAATACATAGGCCTGTTTTATGTGTTTCTCTTTAAAGTCATTTTATATTTTTTGTATTATATTATATTAGTAATTAACTCACCACTGAACAGCCAAGAACACTCTAACTTATGCCTGAATGAAGCTTATCTAACACAGATTCTATCTGTAAGGCATATTATAGCCTTATTACCTTAGGAACACTAGGCAGCACCTCGTCAGCAACCTAGGGGCCATTTTAAACAACAAAGCCACCAACCAGAGGCACAAAAATGTGAGAAGGGTGGCACTAACTCGAATGGGAGAAGGACACTTGTTTACAGTATCTGAGCTGAAACAGCAAGGCAGAGCACCATCCTGCTTGACCACATTTTAGAGCACACACATCAGGAGACTCATATTTTTTACCACCGTGCGTGTGTCCATGAATGAATGCACAAGTTCTGCAAGTATTAATTTGGGTTTATAAATAAAGTTTAGTGAGTAGAATTCACAAATATGGACCCTCTGAAAAGTGAGCATCAACTGCATACCATTTTCCTTTACGATTCAAAGCCCTGTTATTAAGCTTTTTCATTTACTTATATTTTAGTATGTATTTTAGTCTACTGGTCACGAATAAGCAATTTTTCCTCAGCCAAAGGACAAAGCTTTTTCAAATTAAATGGAAGTCAACCACAGGAGTCAGAAAACAAAAACAGTACTTAAAGACCAAATGTCTTGGCCATAAAGTACTCAGGTTTTACTGTATCGATGTTCTCAATTATTTTTTGCAGAGTCAAGTTCTTCATGAAAACATTTTAGTCATACGCTCTAACTCCTCAGAGGTTGGAAGATCTGCACAACTCCATTATACACTAATGCTTTTTAAATAGGTTTTCCTACTGATCACTTATAGTGGGGTTTTTTGATTCACTAACTCCAATGGATACTTTTCGACATAATAGACACTTGTCTTTCTAACAGATAAATGAAGAGGCTGTCAGTTTCACAGCAAAAATTTTAAAAAACAAAACCAGAATGTCCACATGTACAAAAGAATTCAAGTACTCTTTGGTCTCATGGTACAAAATTTAACAATTTTACTTTGGGAAGCTGATCAAAACTGAATAATGCATTCAAGAAAAAAAAAGTACAGAAATCACTTTTTAAGTCACTTTTAAATTATTTCCTATGACTGCTAATAAACTTACATTTTTAAACCAGAAATTCCTATTAATTTTCAGCAACTTATTTACAGTGATGTTTTAAGGACACCACTAGATGATTGCTAATCAAGTAAAGTCATACCTGTTATCAATGTTTACTTCCAAAATGGTCCAGAAGAATTCCATTATAAAATTACCTAGTTTCCGATTCCTCTGGGAAATTATCCAAATCCTATTTAGTCAGGATGATTTAGCATGTCACCCATTTAAAATATTTGCAACATACTATTTAAAAATTATTTCATGATGAGAACTGGCTGTGGTTCACTGAACTTCTGAAAATATTTATGCCATGATTATGCTTGTCATCCTATATTAATGCAATCTAAATTTCTCAGAAGAATGACTAAATCTAGTCCATTATCTTATGAAGATTTGCTGATATATTTTTAAAAATTCTTAAAAATGACTGTATTTTGACAGTGATATATTGTTTTCCAATACATAATAAAAAATGCAAATTTCCTAGGACATAAACTAACCAGGGGGAGGTAAAGTTCTGCTGCTCTGGACTATTAAGCAAAAATCTTCTCAACACTCCTTTTGGTCAGTCAGCTATGTGGAGAGGAACCACACACTCCAGTGTTCTGTTGTAATCAGAGGGATCTTACAATCAAAGGTAGAATTTACAAGTTTATCACTCATCTTTGCCCCTATCTTAGTATCAAAGCTGATAAAGTCTTTCTTGTTGCTGGCCTTTTGCTATTAGAGATCCTCCTAATGGTCTTGAGTATTTAATTCAAAAAACTTTTTAAGTACCCTTTTTAATTCTCTAACTTAAAAATACATTATAAAGAATATCTCTTATCAGGGTTAGTTTTCCTCCTAGTTGTCTTTTTACTATTCCTACCTAATCTCATTTTATTCATCTAAGTAAATTAGAATTAATCTGAAGCAAAAAACTCTAACTTGTACGTACAACCATTGATAGCAGGGGTCTGTGCAAACCCACAGGTCAAATCTGTGCAAAATTATAACCACCCTTTTTGTAAATTAAGTTTCATGAGAACAAAACTTTGCTTATTTGTTCATCTGTTTTGTATTGTCTTTGGCTGCTCTTGAGCCACAACAGTAGAGTTGAGCAGTTTTGACCAAAACCATTTGACCTGCAAAGGCCTAAAATATTTATTACTAAGCCCTTTACAGAAAAAGTTCATGATCTCTGTCAGTATACCAATACTAATTCCCTGTGGGCATACTGGACATAGACATTTCCTTGAACAGTACTGCCATTTTTAGGGAATTATAAAAATTAGAAATATATTTTTGTAAACATGCTTTCAAAAGGCAAGCAGAATTATACATCAAGTATCTAAGGAAAAAATTTCGTTTCTAAATGATTTAACAACTTCATCATGACTGGAAACTAAATATACCAAAGGGAGGAGATCATAAATTGGTATTTTTAAAACCACAATAAATATACTGACAACAGTGAAATTACTGTATTCAGTAACACCAGAAAGTCAAGACTAGCTGAGGTTGGTTGGGACTTACTAATTGGAGAAATCATGCTTTGCCCTTACTGGCTCTTTTAGGAACTGATTAATATGAAACGCCCCAAAATGTTTATTCTTCATGAGAAAATGTATAAGCTTTGGCCAATGACCACCCACTAGGTAAATGGTATTATCATTATGAGTCCTTAGTTCAAATCTTAGCATGTATAAAGAGAATTTTTCTCTATACATGTTAAGCAAAAACAAAATACCTCCCCCAAACATAAACTCGTCAAAAGGGAAAGGAAAATGACAAAGTGGTATATACATAAAAAAATGTTTTGAAAAGTAAGATCTGATGTGAAGACCAGAACATCATCTCCAACGTGCCACTCATCTGAAATAAAATGCTCAAAGTCTGGGATAAAAATAAATATCTTATCAACTGGGTAAGAAAAAAACTAAATTTATTCTTATTTAATGACATTGGCTAAGAGCCCCACATGGTAAGGACCCTCACATTCTGCACAGCCTTCTAAGTAGAAGCTAAAAGGTTAATGAAGCCATCCTACTGTTTTTCTCTCTCCACGGAGCACCCCGGCAGTGAGACGACCAAAGCTGTGTTGGTTTTTATCTTAAACCACCTCTATTCCCTTCGGGCAGTGGCCTCTGTAAGGCTCGTTTAGGCCAATTCCTCTTTCCCAAATATTGCCAAAATGTCTTTTAGAGACTCGGGATGGGGCAAAGGCTTCCGTATGAATTTCTTTCGGCGGCCATACGTGCATAAACAGGTACAAGGGAAGAGCAGACGGTTCAAAACGAACAAAACCGCTTCCGAGAAGGCAATTTTCAGAAAGGGACACCATAAAAATGGACCAAAATTCAGGGGTCCATTTAAGAGGTTTCTCCTAGTTTCGGCTGCTTATTTAAAAAGCCTCAAGGCCACACGTCTGTGGATAAAGAGCTAAGAGGAGGGGCCCGACCACGAGGAATACAGGGCTGGGAGCGGAGAACCGGAGAACGCGGGAGGGTGACGCGAGGAGGGCGAGGGGAGGAGGGCGACGGGAGGACCGCAGCGCGACAGGTGGACGGGGCGAACCGGGCTGACGGCGGGGGCGTGCGTGGGCGCGCACTCCCACAGGTGGCGAGCGGGGCCGCGCAGCGAGCTCCGGACAGCTTGGGGCGGAAGCAGCGGGGAAATGAGCGCAGACACGGTTGAGATGACAACGGAGCAGCGGGCGGGCAGGAACGAGGTGGGGGAAAGGCATGCGATGGGAACGGACCGTTTTCTACAGTTTACCCGTTCTCTCTCCTCAAATCACTCACCAAGAAAATCACACTGGGAAGACGGGGTAAAGGAAAGAAAATGGGGAGGAGCGTCCAGGAGCCGCCAGTGCCGCCTCAGGACGGAGGACCACACCTCAGGGGCTCACCCACGCTCACCCACAGCCCAGGACCAAAGCATTCCCTAGGCCTGACCCGCCCCCAACCCCGCTCCCCGGCCACTGCGCCTGCGTCAGTGAAGGCCTGCGCGCCAGCCGCCACACCCACGCGCCGAGCAACCCCACACCGGGCACGTGACTCTCGGTCCCCGCTCCACCTACCAGAATCCTTCGTGCTCCTCAGGCTCCTCCTCACCCGGTCCAACTCTCCAGAGTCCTCGGGTCAGGGAGGCCTCAGCGGCTCGCTCCGCCTCCCTCGGGATTGGCGCTTGCGCACAAGAGCCTTATTGTGTGACGCGTGCGTCCCAGCCGCACTTCACTTCCGTACTGTCTCTCGTGGGGCATATGTTTCTCTCCAAATATGCAGAGATAGAAACGTGCGATGTTTTTAGGAGGATGCCATTCAACTCATTATTCCCAAGGGCACAAATAAACAGTGGTTTCCATATTGAACTCCAGCAGAAAAACTGCAGGGGGAAGAGAGGAAACGTAGTTCACTGTGCGGCCTTCCAATTCCCCATAGCCTAGCAACTGTTTCCAAGGCAACCACGCCGTCAACAACGCTAAGCAACCCTGCGAGAATTAGAAGGGCTCTTTTCTTTTCTTCTCGAGAGAAAGCTGCTAAGAAGAGGTCAAAGGGGAATTAGGTGAAAGAGAGAAACCTTAGTTCTGTGAGAAGACAAAAGTAGGAAAGGAAAGGGGTAACAGTGAAGAAAGAGCGAGATATTGGTATAGTGAGAAAAAAATATTTTTAAGCGGTCATTTTGGTGGCCATGGATACAACTTGCTTTTCTGAAAGCATTTATAACCTCATACCCATTGACTGGAAGGAGCCTCCCCAGCCTCCTAGGTATGTGGGTAAGCAACGAGTATCACTTGCAACAAGAATAGGGAATAATTAGGCCATTTCAGGATTAACTGAGCATCATATGACGTTGAAAAATAACATAAATGTCTGTCTCAGTGAAGTAGTCTAGATATCAGCTTCATAAGGAAGTGGCTGCAAAATCTAGGTGTTTCACATCTCACAATTCACAGAGAGAGCCATTTTAGTTTGCTGGACACCTATTAATACAATATGTAATTGTTTTGTAATTTTCTAATTGTTCGTACATGATGTACTTTATAAAATGACGTAAAATTTCTTGTTGTTGAAAAGAAAAAATCATTTATATTATCTTCTGCTAGGATACTTGTTACTTGGTTTCAGGAGTTCGTTGTTTTATTTCTCTCTACACTACCACTTCCTCTCTAAAGGGATAGTAGTTACTTGTTTCTGAGATTATTGTCAAATATAAATTCTTATTTGTTTCTGAAGCTCAGTTTTTTGATTGGTAAAACAAAACAGAAAAGCTTTTAAGGTCTTTTCCAGATCTGATAGCTGGATAGATGGAAGAGTAGATGGGTGGAGGCCCCAAATATGTAATTGAGTTAAAATTTTTACCTAGGTATTAGGATCCCCCAATTTCCCCATTATTTCAAAAACTTAACCCCAAAGTAAATATCTCAGTTACTCTCCTGTGTAGAGGTTTAGAACTGATGTAAATCTATGGGGAGGAAAGAAGGTAACTAGTGCAAAAAATCTTATTCCTCCTAGTACTTGAAATATTTGCTGTTTTTTAACCTTCTTTTGCTGATGCAAGTCAAAACCACATTGAAAGAGCACTCGGCTAAAAAGCATGCTCTGAAATCCATTGGTTTGGGAATAATGAATAAATTTTCATTTGTTTTCTTTTCTTTTTAAAAAAATATTTTATTTATTTATTTAACAGAACGAAAGAGAGGCACAAGTAGGCAGAGAGGAGATCACAAGCAGGCAGAGAGGCAGGCAGAGAGAGGGGGAAGCAGGCTCCCCACTAAGCAGAGAGCCCGATGCAGGACTCGATCCCAGGACCCTGGAATCATGACCCAAGCTGAAGGCAGAGGTTTAACCCACTGAGCCACCCAGGAGCTCCTTGTTTTCTGATATGTAAAACGAACTAAATGATCCACATAATCTCTAAGTTTCCTTTGAGTAATTACTTGGGGTACATAACATCATCAAGTGGGCAAATCCTTCCATTTCAAGCCCGAGTATCTAGTTTTAACAAGAGTAGTACTTGTATTATTTTCCATTAGCTTCTCAAAATCGAACTGAGCATGGAAAGAGGAATGTAAAGTAAAATGTGATGGAGTTGCAGAGTTTATGAGGAGGATCCCAATTAACTATTGCTGAATGAATTTTTGGTCAAAAATTCCTGTATGTTGTACTAGATAAATCTCCTCCTTTCTATAACCACGGATAGGTTGTATTTTCTATAGAGTACTGAATTTGAATGTTAAGATATTTTATTAGATATGTGTTTTGTTCACTGGTAAATTAAAAAGGTGTGCCTTTACTATATCTAAGTAATTTTTTCAAGAAATTTCATAGGAAAAATCTTTATTCATTCGGCAAGCAATAACTGAGGCCCTGTTATGTGTATAACATTGCCCTTGGAGAATGTCTTGGGAAATGTTGGAAGTGACAGCACAAACTCCATGGTTGACTCTGAAGGAATAAGTAGGAAAAAGGAACTCAGGTGAAGGGAATAGAAGGCATCCAAATGTGGTGCCAAAGAACCCTGTCTGTTAGAGTGAGACTATCCAGGACAACCTACGCTACAACGACCCTGAAAAGGTTTTAATTTGATAATTAGGCCACCAATAAATAAAACCACCAATATATAAACTACCAATATATAAAAACAGAACATAACACATTTAACACCTTCCTCTCACCACACTATTTGCCCTGACCCAATCCCCTTACTAATAGTAAGAATTTATCATTAAAAAGAAATGTATTAACCTACAAGACTTATTTGCTTTACTGAGTTACAAATTCAGCTTCCAAAAAAGCTCACTGCAGCTCTTTGCAAGATTAGCAAGATGACTGTCCAGTTTTCACAAAGAGGTGCATCCCTCAAAAACTGACTGCATTGTGATCTCCCACACCTCAGACGTTACAGCCTCCTTGGGACACTACAGTATAAACATTAACATTTAGACTAACAATAAAATCATATATTATTGGAAACCCTAATGAGAGATGCAGATAACTAAATGAGAACTTAGGAAATGGATATATGTAATGAAAATGGGGTGAAGGGCAGCCTCTTTTAGTTGAGCTTACTGAGCTGGGACTCAGGCTATAACAGTGTTAAAGTCAATGGGAAGCCATGAATCCATTTTAAAAATTTCAGTTGCTCACGATGCATGAGATGGTTTCCAAGATACTCACCAAATTTGTCACCCTTCTATTGATGGCTCCAGTTACTTGATGTCTCCAATCATTCTGTCTTTCCCTTTTATTTAAGATAATATTCCATGTATGTACTGGACAGCCCATGGTACCATTCTCTCTTTCCTTGCAGCACAATACTTTTATTAATACACTCATTAACATTTTGACATTCATTTCCCTACCATTGCCTCACATTGAAATTTCCACATGAATTATGACTAAGGTCGGTCTCTACCGTACTATAATTAATGTAACTGATTGTTTTTAATCTAAACTCATTGTTATCTATGGACACAGTTTTGAACTTTGAGTCTTTCATATATTCTCTCAACCATCCTTCCCAGCTCTGTGACATTTGCAAATCTAGTAAGTATGTCTTTTATATCTCCATCTGCCATTGAACAGGACAAGTACTTGGCACTTTAGTAGACTACAAGACCCCTCTTTTTAGGCTGATAGCAATACTGGTTTTGAGGGTATAATCAGTCATCCATATGCATCCATCAATCAATTCCTATGTCTCTACCTTATCAGTAAGGATAAGAGGCTTTGCTAACATAAAGATGTATATTATGTCTAAGGTACTTGACTGAATTATGAGTCACATAATCTTTTTTAAAAATGATGTTCATTTCAGTGACCTGAAACTCCATATTGCTCATTTAGTCATTGCTTCTCTACAGATTTTTAGATGCCTTCCAAAATTGACTTCAGACTCACCATTGATGCATGGTTTTTAAAAAATAGGAATATTTAATGTGTAAGCACCCACTAGTTGGCTGTTTTTTTAAGGCTTTCTGGTTTTCATTGATGTTAACTGTGACCCGTAGTTAGAATTTCATTTTCAGAGCTCCTCATTCTCTTTGGACCATCCTTCATTTTATTCAATTTCCATACTGTTAAATCTACATCTTCTGAGGCTTTGCAACATCTCTTTGTTTAAAGTCTAGTTATGTATCTAACTTTGCTAAGCAATCTTGACTATTATGAAATCTTAGATGACAGAGTCATTTTCTCCTGAGATTCTTATCTACTTTGCTGACAATTTGTAGCCAATAATTCAATTGGGGAAAGCAGTAGTCCTTTAAAATGAACTTATATTCAAAGAATGTCAAAAATAATCCAAAGTCTTTGCTTTTATTTTTTAAAAAGATTTTATTTATTTATTTGACAGAGAGAGAGATCACAAGTAGGCAGAGAGGCAGGCAGAGAGAGAGAGAGAGAGGGAAGCAGGCTCCTGCTGGGCAGAGATGTCTGACGCGGGGCTCAATCTCAGGAACCTGAGACCATGACCTGAGCCAAAGACAGAGGCTCAACCCACTGAGCTACCCAGGCACCTCTAAAATCTTTGCTTTTAGTATAATGAAGTTTATGTTAAAATATCCACTGTTCCAATATATGGTCTCAGAGTTTCATAACTAGTGTTAGAAATTGTTATTCAGATTTTTAATTTGGCTGCCCAGTCTTTGCATACTTCCATAATCATAACACTTCTTTTCATCTCTTGTAAAAAAAAGAAACTTTACATGTCCTAATATAGAAAGAGATCACATTAAGTTTTAAAAATCAAGTTATATTTCATACACAAATAGAAATATAGAAAACTCAATTTATTTGGAAAATGGATTGAGGAGATAGAGGAAAAGTATATTATATTAGTTTCCATCTTTTTTTCTATTTTTGTAATTTGGAAAAGTAAAAAATTACTCAAATAGCATAAAGTGTATTGTTTTGTGTAACAAACAGGCAAGATTTCAGCTCACAAAATAATGTATTGAATCACAAGATTGAAAATTAAAAAGAGCTGAGAGTATACACACTCTTTTCTTACCACAAGGAAAGTAATTTTACTAATTAAGAGGTAATATCTGCCAGTTCCAACTTGCATATGAAATTTAAGGCACAAGTTTGGATTGAACATTATTTTCTGAAGGTATCTAATAAACTCATTCAGTTTAGACCATAATTAATCCCTAGCCATTGAACTCAAGATTGAGGAAAGGCCTTTAAAAGCAAGAAACAATTCAATGTTTCTTCAAACAAATTTATCAACATTAAGTAAGAAGAGAATAAATTGTTAAAAGTGGTATAGCTGAACTTCTGCTTCCAATCAAATGTGGAATTTACCCTCTCACCTTAAACAACTAAAACACTAGTGGGGGAAAAGTGTAAAACAATAGTTTTCAGACAATGGACAATAGGCAGCACAGAGCAGTCATCCCTAAGAGAAGAGAAACAAGCCTCACAATTGCCCAACAATCTTCTTAGAGAGTTTCCAGGCCGAAGTCCAGAGAAGAAGAATTTAAACAAAATCCAGCAGTTCCTTGAGTTAAAGGAGACAGAGTTCAGAGTCTGGGGAGGTCAAGGCATGTAGAATTCACAGCACTGAGAACAAGGTACCAGAGAGGAGAGAACTGAAGAGAGAGAAAGAGAGAGTGTGTGCTATAGAAATATGCAAGAAGATTTTTCTGAAGTCTTTGGTTGGCAGTACATGTATGCAATGAAACTATGGAGGCCAGAGAAATAACCAACAGAAGGTTGGTGAGAAATAACCAACGGAGTCAGATAAAGTTCGAGTTCCCACCAGCCAAAGTGGAAACACCTCCTAAGGCACAGGGCATTGAGTAGTGCACTCAAAAGTATATTGCCTCAGTAGTAGAGCCAAATTAGAACTAGACTCAAAGCTCTTCTGGACCCAGAAATATAATGCATAACCAAAAGAAAATTAGTCAATACAAACAAAGAAATGGCATTAATAAGAGAATTAGTAGACAAGACCATTAAAGCTATTTTAAATATTCTCCATGTATTCAAAAAGATAGAGGAAAACATGAGCAAGATACAGAGAGAAATGGAAGGATAAAAAAAAGATTTAAAAAAAATACCAAAATTGAATTTCTAGACATAAAGGATACCACTTCTAAAATGAAAATTGTCCACTGGATGGGATTAACAATAGCTAAAACACTGAAGAAAATATTGTTGAATTTGAAGACAGTAATAGAACAATACAAAATAAAAGAAAAAACTGAAAAGGAAAACAGTGAATCAGTGAGTTGCAGACAACATCCAACAGCCAAACTTAAGTATAATTAGACTTGCAGAAGGAGAGGAGAGAGCTGAGTAAACAGAAAACATATTTGAATAATGGCTAAAATTTGACGAAGTTAATGAAATTTCCAAATCCACAAATCCAAGAATCACAATGAGCCCTAAGCAGAAAGAAGAAAAAAGGAGAAGGAGGAGGTGGAGGAGAAGACCATACCAAGGGATATTACAATCAAATTTCTTAGAACCAGTAATAAAGAGAAAAACCTTAAAAGCAGCCAAAGGAAAAAGAAATATCACATATAGAAAAAGAAAGATAGCAAATATCTCATCAGAAACAATGGAAGACAGAACTTACAAGGTGCTTAATGCACATATAAGTATAAATTGGAAATTTGGATTTACACAATGAAATAAAGAACACTGGAAATGGCAAATACATGGTAAACATTAGAAATTATTTTTTCTCTTTAAATTTATTTAAAATGTAATTAGTTTTTTACAGGGAAAATAATCACAATGAATTATGAGTTTATAACACATTGAAGTAAAATATAACAGTGGGAGAAAGAATACAAATATTCTTTTGTATGGTTCTTATACTGCATGTGACATGGTATAATGTTACATGAGGGTAGGCTATGGTAAGTTAAAAATGTATATTGTAAACCTTAGAATGTCCACAAAATAAAATCAAACAAAAGTAAAAAATAAGGCAAAATAAAAAAGAAGAAGAATGAACAAAGGGGTATGTAGAAAACAAATAGCAAGATGGAAAATTTAAACAGAAATGTGTTTTTAAAATTACATCAGATATGAATGGTCTAAACAAATAAAAGAGATTTTTTAGAAAGAATTAAATTTCTGTGTTCTCCATGAAAAAAAAAAAACCTTTAAAAATAAAGTCACAAAATAAGTAAAAAGTCAAAGAATGGAAAAACACTGTGTTGCCACAGAGCAAAGGAGTGCTGAAGTGGTTTTATTAATATGAGATAGAGTAGATTTTAGAGTAGAGTTTTAAAGGAGTAAATAACATGACTTTATAATGATGAAGTGGTCAGTTCAAGAAGATGTAATAATTTTAAATGTTATGAACCTACAAACAGAGCTTCAAAATATATGAAGGAACAATTGATAAAACTAAAAGAAGAACAAATCCACAATTGTAGTCAGAGATTTCAACATCTCTCCATAATTAAAAGAACACTTGAAAACACTACCAGGTTGACCTGATTGATATTTACAGACGATTCCAGCCAGCAACAACCAATACACTTTCTTTTTGAGTGTATATAGAACATTTACCAAGATAGACCATACTTTGTGCCATAATACAAGGGTCAGAAAGTTTAAGAGGACTGAAATTGTGCAAAATACATTCTCTAACCATAACAACTTAATTAGAAATCAGAAAGACACCTGGAAAATCCCCAAATATTTGGAAACCAAACAAAACACATCTAAAGAAACTATTAAGTCAAAGAAGATATCAGAAGAGAATTAAAAAAGTATTTTGAGCTGAATGAAAAGGACAGAATAAGCATATCAAGATTTGTGGGATGCAGCTGTCAAGCAGTGCTTGGAGGGAATTCTACAGTTTTAAATACTTCTATTAGAAAACTAGTAAGTTTAAAGTCAAATACCTAAACATGCCCCTTAAGAAACTAAAACAAAAAGGGCAAATTAAATCAGAATAAGGAGAAATAACAAAGATAAGTGTGGAAATCATTGAAATGGAAAACATGTGAACGTTAGAGAAACACAATGACAAGGTCAATGAAATAAATGCCTAGCTAAACTGATCAGCAGAGAGAATGAGGACACAGTTCACCAATATCAGGAGTGGGAGAGGTGATATCACATGTTCACATGTTAACAGCGAAATACTAGAATCTTGACCCTGGCACCTCTCGAAGCTTCCATCAATGGTGTTTGATAGACAGGGCTCAGATAATTACACTTTACATCTGTCTCTGAATGAATATAGACTTATATATATTTAAAAATGTACAACTTAAACTTGAAATCACTTTTACTGGAAATACAAATGTTACAACTTTTCTCTCTCTTTTTTTAACTTTAGGTACATATCCATTTTTAAGACATCTGTAAAAGAGGACATGCAAAAACATAAAACTGCAATGAAGACTATGGGACCACCAAAAGTTGAAGTACCTTCTCCGAAGGATTTCCTGAAGAAACATTCAAAGGAAAAAATTCTACCACCTCGTAGGTTTTATCATTCTTTTTAATGTTAAAAGTGCTAACAAATCATTTAACTAGAATTATCTTACTGCCAATGAATATTAAGTGCTCATAGGTGAGAAGTTTACCTCATATTTAACAGAATCTGGCATTCTAGAAGAAAGTAGAAGTAGAGAATGTAGTGGAAAAAGAAGGTGGAGAATACTAAGTCGTCCCCCAAATAGACTTTCCCTGTGATGTGCAAGCATCTGACCTACAGCTTGGACTATCCAATAAAGCCCCACCTCCAGCCCCACAGGCCTCACCATCTTAGTCCCTAGCCAGACAATTTCAGTAACAAATAACGATTATAAGAAGAGTTTGAAACTCTAGTGAGAAGATAGCCTGGCATCTAAACCCGTCTGGTCTTTTCTGCAAGAGAAGAGAATTGCAACTGTTAGACCAGTTGAAGCAACTATCAGGCATGGGCTTTAACTCTCCCAGATCTCTAAGACCATTTGGGCAGTAAATGAGTCCGGTGTAATGGAGGTGCCGTCACGAACGACTGGGAGACAAAGCCAGCTTCTTGGGCATGTGTGCAGTCACACAGGGCCATGTGCTTAGAAGCTTGGTTTAACGCTCTGCTTTTGCCCTCTTGAAATTCTTAATTTTTGATCAAGGAGCTCCATGTTGTCATCTTGAACTAGGCCTTGCAAATTATGTAATTAATCATGGTCATAGAGTATATAGATAGTAGGGAGAGGGCTATCTGGAAAATGGATAGGTATGTATGCATGGAAGCAGCTTCTTCCCATCCTAGTTGTGTCTTTCCTGATGTTTTAGGACAATAGAGAGGAGAGGGAAATTAGTCTCTCTCTTTCACAAAGTTAGCATCAAGGAAATAATGCAACATCTCAAGCCCAGCTAGGATGTACCTTTTGACAAAAGTGAACTACTTCTCCCTATGGCAATATTTTATATCCCACAATCCTCCCTCATAACCCATAATGCCTTGACAAAGGATGAGGATATTATCAGGAAAGACGGAAAATGCAAATCTAAAAGTACAACATTCTTGCATAAATTCACGTCTTTCAGAAGTCTCTATTATCTCTCTTGAGGGGAGGCTTGGTATTATGTGACCCACACCACTTGAGAACACTGGAAAATCTTAAAATGGAATAAACTAATTCCATGATAGAATTTCGATGATATAACTTGGGTTCTCATGCATCCTCTCTAGAGTTAAACACATTATATAACACAAATACCAAACTATATAAAACCTAAATATCAAATAAGGGATAGGGGAAGAAGTCTATCTCTCCCCTCATAACAGGACAAAAAAAACCCCACAAAATAATATTGTCCTTATGAATAATCAAGAAGGTTGGTTGCTGCAAGAGTTGAATCCAATGAGTTAAAGGTAATATAGACCAAGGCTACTTCGAGTCTCTTTTTGGATATTCTGTCATTTTGAACGCAATAGTTTTGAAGACGGGAATTTGCTAGACACACTGAACAATACTTAACAGATACAGGAACATTTCTATAAATTCAGTTGCTAGAACGTCTGCATGACAACAAGGCTGTGTTGACATTGCCACTTTGATATAACCGTAAGGAAACAAACCATTTGGTTTTCAGATTTATTATCATAACTCCCAAGTACCTTGTGAAAAGACATCCTCATCCCATTTTCCAAGGCTTACCCCATTGCCAGCCCCTATGCCTGGGGTGAGAGAAAAGATGATGTTTAAATAGACATAAGGGAAAGATAGGCACCATCCAGTGGACAACCACAACCAATCAAGGGTTGTAATTTACTCTACTTACTCACCTAAGAACGAATTATCAGTCTTTGTAAACTGCTTCCTCATTTCCTTAGAATTCAGCTTTACCTCTTATATACATTTCTAAAGCTACAGATTTCCTTATATTTACATTTGCATGCACTGTCAATTCATAATTAGGTCGCTAAATATTTTCAATGTAAGTATCAAGAGGATAAGTAACTGGGTTTTTAGGCAAACAGATTTTGCAAGCTTCATTGGGTTGAGTGTATCTGGTTGAAGGAAGCTCTTTGAGTTGTAACAACGAGCCCTTATTCTCTGCTCCAGGCTTTATAGGAACTCCACATTCAATTTCTAACATTGCTCATAACATCTCATTAATAGATAAATCGGAAGATACAATTTTGGTAGATCAGAGGTAGTAAACAATTTCACATATAATTCAAGCAAATATATACATTGTAGTCTACATATTAAAATGCATTTTTTCCTTTCCCCCCTATAATGTAAACTCCAGGAGAACAGGGACTTGTCTCTTGTTCATTGCTATATCTGCAGTTCCTGAAGCATTAACTGGGGACATAGTAATTCTCAACAAAAACATATTGCATTAATTAATGAATACATATTAATGATACTTATGATAAACTCCTTTATGATATTTCTGGATGTGTAAATTAATATCAGAAGTGTTGGCTTGCTAAGGCTGCCATAACAAAGTATCACAGACTGAATGGCTTAAACAGAAATGTGTTTGGTACTGGTGTTAGGGCTTCAACAGATGAATGCTGGGAGGCATGCAATTCAGCTCATAACAAGAGGTTAATCCAGTCCTTAGACATTTAATAATATCTTTTTTCCTGCTAATAAGAGTGACATAAACTCATAAAAATTCAAACCGCAGAAATGAAAAAAGGCAAAGTACCTAGTAATTGTGAGGGGTGAAGATGTGGGTAAAGTTTTGTCAAGATGGGTGTTGCCTTCAGTTCTTGGAAATAAATTGTAATTCTCTTACATTTTAGCATTCTTCCAAACCATTTTGAGGTGGTTCTATTAAAATAGATGAGTCAGAATGGTCACGTTAAAGAGGCTGTGTAGAAATGGCCAGTCTCATCTGCTGCTAATGAAGACAATGTGGTAGAGAGAAATAAATAAGATGAATTCTGGATAGTAGTAATTTTAGGAAGTGAGGAACAGTCAGGGAGGAGCGAACTGGAAACTTCAGCTGAGCTGCTAATTTTTATTAATTAAGCTACATGCTGGGGACAAAGCTCTTACATGATCTTCATACCTGATAATAAGAGTTCTAGTGAAAAAATCCATAATTCTTGGACTTTCATCAAGTTTGACTTATTCGTGACTTGACAGTAACTTTCCTCTGAAGAAAAAGTTACTAGTAATATTGGTAGTATTTAGAAAAGACTTCTAAAGTTTTTTGAAATTTTTTCAGTGAAAAAGCTAAACATTTATTACTGATAGCTTTGTAAGAAAATATTTTCACACTAGCTAGTAAAAATACACTAGTTAGCTAGCAGATGATTGGGAGGGCTTATCTTCTTCCCTTAGACTTGGATACTGTTCTTCAATATATTAAATGATTATGTTGTGCTTAATTTGGGGTGTTTATGATTACTGATGTTCCCCTAAATACTTGAATATATTATAAATAAAACTCTTAGGGGGCCCCTGGGTGGCTCAGTCATTTAGCGTCTGCCTTCAGTTCAGGTCACAATCCCAGGGTCCTGGGATGGAGCCCCGCTTCAGGATCCTTGTTCACTGGGGAGCCTGCCTCTCCCTCTCCCACTCGCCCTGCTTGTATTCCCTCTCTTGCTGTCTCTCTCTGTCAAATAAATAAATAAAATCTTTAAAAAAAAACCCTCTAATATACTAGTGGTAAAATATCAAGATATTATAAATAATATTGAATAGCAATGTTTATAATTTAATATTAACAAGAAAATGTTGTGTTTAACAGAAAAAAAGTTTGATCGGAATGAGCCCAAAAAGCCTCCCGTGCCACTGAGGACTGAGCATCCGGTCATGGGAATACAGAGTGAAAAAAATTTTATAAATACAAATGCAGCCGATGTCATCATGGGAGTGGCTAAAAAGCCTAAGCCAATTTATGTTGACAAAAGAACTGGAGACAAGCATGATCTTGAAACCTCTGGACTAGTTCCAAAATACATCAATAAAAAGGTAGCCTTGTGATGTAGTAATGAGACCTTAAATGCAAATAATTTAAGTATGGTGTTCAAAATGATTATCCATATTATTAGTAAAAGCGCTCTCACTGCGCAAATTATTCCTCTACAATCTGTGTTTGGTCCAAATCTAATGTGATGAAGTTATGGAGAACTTGAAATTAATAGCATTACATAGTCCAGTAGAGGAAAACTCTCATTGTTTCCCTTAATTTCAGCTTTTAATATATTTAACAGTTACAGCAAACATCCTCTAAAAGATGTTAATTTTTAGTGTGGTGGAAATTTCATGAAAAGCACAGTCATTACTATGAGTCATTACTAAGAAATAACCTTTCAGAAAGTCCTGAGATTTAGTCATTAGGTTATAATATCTTGGTAACAGAATGAGGAAAAATGAAGAGGAAGATGATTTTAGAGCCATCCATCCTATCAATGTAGTGTAAATGAGTCACATTACAATTTCAACTTCAATGTGTCTGGAATAAAGCAGACGTTAAAGTACTGTACAATAATCTAGTCCTTTTGGGACCTTCATCTCTATCTGAAAAGGTGCTTACCAGATAGGCATACAATTTCATTGTTGAAAATTATAGGACCTTCAGTTTGTTTAGAAATAGAAGATCTTTAAAATTTAAAGAGCTTACAAAAACACCTTATACAAAACCTATTTTACTTTGTATGCATACACAGTGTAAAACTGTTTGGGACACACGTCGTAAAATGCGAATGCAAAATCCTAAAGAATGTTAATCCATAACAATAAGGTGTGGCAAAAAAGAAAGGAAGGACAGAAGGAAGAAAGGAAGGAAGAGGAAAAACAGAAATTGCAATAGTGGTGTATGAGGGGTTTACATCGAGGTAGTCCAAGGATCTACCATGATGAATCCAACGCCAAACAGGAACCTCACAGCTGTTGTCAGAGTACACCACTTACTCTCTGCGAAACTCCTGTCACTCATTAAGCTAAGACACTTTCGGGAGACCTTAGCAGGTGTCTAAGGGTTGGCAGCACGGGGCGACGAAGTTATTTCCGGCCTCTGTGAATACTTCCTCCGGTGCCCTGAAGGCTTCTCATAGCCCTTTTCCCAATGGGGGTGGAAAAACAGAAATTTCACTCTTCTGGCTGGCTCTTTAAGGCAACTTCCAAACCACTATTTATCCACTAGGATGTAAAACCCCTCTTCTTTTTGCTGGTTATGCCACCAACTGCCCACGCTGTGCCCCTCCTTCTGGCTGCCTTCTGCCTAAGCTGTCCACTTCAATAAATTTTCTATCCTGAAGAAAAATTGAGAGTATTCATCATGGAGACAGAAAAATATTAAGTTAGCCTCCCGGTGCTTGTTTACCAAGCCATGCAAACACTCTGCACCCATTAGACTCTTGGTGTTGCTGGCTGGGCCTTCAGGGCTCATGAAGGACTTTCTCAGCTTACTTTCCACTGATCAGAGCTATGTTTTTAAGACTTGGGCACCTGAGTGGCTCAGTCAGTTGGGCAGCTGCCTTTGGCTCTGGTCATGATCTCATGGTCCTGGGATCGAGCCCACATACTGCTCCTTGATCAGCCGGGAATCTGCTTCTCCCTCTGTCCTTCCCCTGCTCATTCTCTCTTTCTTTCTCTCTCAAATAAATAAATAAAATCCTATGTGAAGGAAATTATAAAGTTTTAAAAAAGATAAAACCTATTAATGGTAAGTGAGAGATCAAGTCTTTAAAGGGCAATGCCATTTTTTTAAAAAGTGAGGGACCCTCATGTTTTAGTTTCAAGTAAAATATTGTGTGCACATTTGTGCCATGGGAAACCATCTGTGAAAACAAATGGAAGCACTGATGATTGCCTGAGGTCTACGGCAATGGACGTGAGACCTCGTCTCAAATTCTGTCTCTGGCACTTAACTCTGTGATCTTTCACACGTTATTAGATTTATCACAGGGTTGTAGTGAGAATTAAATGATATAAAATCTATCAAGCACTTGATACACTATCTGGCACCTAATAAAAGTTCAATAGAGAGTGGGTATTAGTAATTATTATATTAAGAATATTCATTAGCCCTTAGTGGTCCAGCCCTGGGAATATTTCAGATCACTGAAGCTTTTAGCCATGTGCAAGACATTTTTTCTTCCTAAAATATATTACGTTATTCCCCTTATTAAACAGAATATGCCCAATATAATTTAATGTTTTGGTGATGACTCAGAATCATTGTTATGAGCATCAGTAACTACTTAGTTGTGATGAAGTTTTGCCCTCAGTGTTTGCTGAAATGAATTGGACTATTTACCACTGCTCTAACTTACCAGAATACTGTGCACTTAGAATTTATTTGTAGAGTGTTTTGCAACTTGCCAGAACACACTTATAGCTAGGATTTCAAACTATCCTTTTTTTAGCCAGGATGGGTTAAGTTATGCTTTGGTAAAAAAAATAACCCCAATTTCAGCAGCTAAAAGCAAGTAAGTTTTATTGTTTGCTTATGCTCCATGTCCATTAAGGGTTGGAAGCTCTTCTTCTTGTCCTCATTCCAAGACCCAGGCAAACCGAAATATTTCCCATCATTATACTAAGTAGAAAAAGAACATGGCAAGTCATCTATTAATTCTTGAGGCTTCTACCCAAAAGGGACAGAGGCTACTTGCACTATCACTGGGCAAGTCAGGTCACATGATCACATCTTACTTCAAGTGGATGAGCAAAGTGTTGTCTCATCAACTGCCTAGAAGGAGAAGAACCAGAAGGTTTACAAATAATTTTAATGACTATCCTACCTCTTAACTGCTGCTTCCTCAGAGAGTTTTTCACTGAGCTCCTTATTTATCTAAAATAGATCCTATTTCTTTCTTCCCCTTACTATTCTTTGTTTCAGTTTGGAGCACTGATACATATATTATTTTATACTCTATTTTTTTGTGAGTTTCTCTCACCACAGAATGCACATTCCATAAAAATAGAAACCTTGTCTTTCTTATTCACTAGTATACCTGGCATCAAGTAAATTCTCAAATAATTTTTTGAAAAATAAACAAGGAATAGTATAGTTCGATTTCTGTACGCAGTGATATCAAGCATAGTCGCTAGTCTGAAAAAAAAAATCACAGCAGATTGTTTCACTGTCAGTCCTTGTAAGCGGCCCAGGAAACTTCAAAATGGATTTTGCATTCCAAAAACAACCTTAGGGTCCCAAGTGTTTTTACTTAAAGCAGATGTGCGTTGTGTATTTGTTTTTTACTATATTTTGGAAGCACTTATCCTCTTTTATGTAAGAAGAACTTGCAAAAGAGACCTCAAGATATTCAAGATATTTAAAGATAAAAGCTGAAGCACCTAAAAGAAATAAAGAAAAGCCAACTCTTAGAGGTAAAACCAGGGCTGAGTCATCAGCCAGGAACAGGTGCTGGAAACATTCAGAAGAGAAAAAACAAGCAGCCACAATAACAATTCAGATGGTTTTAAAAGCCGAGAATCAACTAGTTCCCAATGGGAAAAGAAAAACAAACAAGCAAACATTGAATTTTGTCAATTTGCCATGTTTGGAGCAAAGGCTTTGCTCCAAAAAATCTGTAACATTTCTTTTTCTCCCAGTCATTAGTTGATATATGCATGTATGTACGACTGCATTCAGGATATTAATTTTTTTTTCTGAAACATCCTTATAAGGATTATGGCGTCACACCAGAATATATATGTAAGCGAAATGAGGAAGTTAGGAAAGCCCAAGAAGAATATGATAATTATATCCAGGAAAACCTTAGGAAAGCAGCTATGAAAAGGCTGTCTGATGAAGAAAGAGAGGCCGTTCTGCAGGTAAGTGTTCTGTAATTTATATTCATATTTAGTAGTCCTTTGGAACATCTCTGAAGGAAGGGTCCATCCACCATCAATGACTATTATAAGCCCGCGTCTTGACTTTGAGTCAGAACACTCTCTTTGGGTTATGGTGAGGAGTATGTGCAGTACACTGACCCTTTGGGGAGAGCAAAAGTTATATTAGGAATTATTGGATAATATTTTGTTTCCAATTTTGTGAACTTCTGTTTTTTCTTGGGGGCAGTTAATGTTGTATGAAGCCCGCCTTCTGCTTCAGCCAACATGAGTAAGTAAAGCCAAAAGGCATTTTTATTTTTCTTGTCATGTCCCTAGATTTTTCAAAAATAATATCCATAAAATAGATATTTTTCACTAGATGGAGCTCTAGAATAATTGAAGCTGCTCTTAGGCCAACTTTTTTTTTTCTTTCCTATAAGCCAAATGTCCAAATTTTAAAATAAGCAGGTGTTAGGTTTTTTTTATACATTTTCTTTATTTTGAATAAAATAGGCATAGAGATATATGATCTTATGTGTTTACTGCAAGTCTTTTATCTGAAGCACATACAATATCATTAGAGAGTATTTATTAAGCACCTAATTGTACTCCTCTATAGTCAATGATATCTCTTATAGAGGTAAAACTAGTACTTTATTCTTGTTTTGTTGTTTTGAAAGATTTCTACAAAGTCATTTCTAGTGACCTTTTAAAAACAGAAAAAAAAATTTTGTCCACATAAACTTCTGTTGAAAATAGATTTGTAAGCTGTTTAAATTCCTAATATTTTATTAATGTTATAATCATTATTAAACATTTACTAATTCCTGTTTTGCATTAAGTATCATGCTAAGCCTCAAGGATATTAAAAAGGACATAAGATAAAATTCTACTATAGATAATGTTGTAATATAATGGAGGAGAGGTGATATGTATATATGCACATATGTAGATGTGTGTGTGTGTGTGTGTGTGTGTGTGTTAGGTAGAGATCATAAGTTTTATCAGGTTCTAAGACTGAGTATCTGATGAAGGATTTAGCTTGGCCTTAAACTTCAGAGTAAGAGGGTCTTCTGGACAGCAGAACTGACCTAAGGGCAAAGACTGTGTCTCTTTGTTGACAGCAGTCTCCTTTGTGCCTAACTTGGTGCCACAGTATAAACACAGAGGCTTAATATTGGTGTGCTGGAAAGAAGAAAGGAAGAAGGTAGGCAAGAAGTCTAGCGGACATGGAGGTGGGACTTCGGATGTCATTTTCAGAATACTGGTTTTTGGTCCATTTTCTCTTTCCCTTTCTCTCTTGCTCTTTTTCTTTCTCCTTCTTGCACTCCACCTCTCTCTAGTTTGAATCTACCATTTATAGAAAGTACATGCTTTTGTGAAAGCCAGGTTTTTATATCTAACCAATGCTGAAAAAAAGAACACAAAACCACCAGTGGATAGATCATCCAGACAGAAAATCAATAAGGAAACCTCAGCCTTAAACAACACATTAGACCAGACGCACTTAACAGAGAGAAACAGAACATTCCATCCCAAACCCGAATACACATTCTTCTCAACTGCTCTTGAGAACGTTTTCCAGGATAGATCATATGTTAAGCCATAAAACAAGTCTCAATAAATTTAAGAAGACTGAAATCATATCAAGCATCTTTTCCACTTAAAACAATATAAAACTAAAAATCAAATACAAGAAGAAAACTGGAAAAATCACAAACATATGGAGATTAAACAATATGCTAATGAACAACTAATGGCTCAATGAAGAAATCAAAGGAGAATTCCAAAAATACTTTGGGGGTGCCTGAGTGGCTCAGTCAGTTAAGTGTCTGACTGTTTTGGCTCAGGTCATGATCTCAGGGTCGTGAGATCAAGCCCTATGTTGGTCTCCATGCTCAGTGTAGGAACCAGAAAAAGAAGAACAAAAGAAGCCCAAAGTTCTGGAAGGAAGGAAATAATAAAGATGGAATAATAAAGAGTGGAAATAAATGAAATAGAAACTAAAAGACTAGAAAAGATCAATGAAAGTAAGAGCTGGTTCTCTAAAAAGATAAACTAAATTAACCTTTAGCTAGGCTCACTAAGAAAAAAGAGAGAGAGGACCTAAATAAAATCAGAAATGAAAGAGAAAAAATTACAACTGAACACAGGAATACAAATGATCATAAAAGAATACTATGAACAGGTCTATGCCAACATTTTGGATATCTAAAAGAAATGGATAAATTCCTAGAAACATACAATCTTCCAAGACTGAATCATGAAGAAGTAGAAAATCTGCATAGACCAAGTACTAGTAAGTAGATTTAAACAGTAATCAGAAAACTCCCAACAAATGAAAGTTCAGGGCCAGATGGCTTCACTGACGAATTCTACCAAACATTCAAAGATTTAACATCTATCCTCCTCAAACTCTTCCAAGAAATCGAACATTAGGGAAGCCTTCCAAATTCATTTTACAAGGCCAGCATTACCCTGATACCAAAACAATTCAAGGACACCACATACGCTCGCAAATCATAGGCCGTAAATATCCCTGTTGAATATCATACAAAATCCTCAACAAAATGTTAGCAGATCAATTTCAACAATTCATTAAATATATCATTTACCATAATCAAGTGGGATTTATTCCAGGGATGAGAAGATAGCTCAGTATCCATAAATCAATCAATATTGATATAATATAGTAATAAAATGAAGGATAAAAATCATATGATTATCTCAATAGATGCAGCAAAAGCATTTGACAATATTCAACATCAGTTTAATGATAAAATCAACATAATAAAGGCTGTCTATGACGAGCCCACAGCTAACATCATGTGAACAGTGAAAAACTGAGAACTTTTCCTTTAAGATCAGGAATAAGACAAGATGCTCACTCTTACCACTTTCATTCAACACTGCATTGGAAGTGCTACACAGAACAATTAGGCAGGAAAAAGAAATAAAAGCCACTCAAATTGGAAAAGAAGTAAAACTCACTACTTGTGGATGACGTGATTTTATATATAAAGACTCCTCCAAACATCTCTTAGAACTAGTAAACAGGGCACCTGGGTGGCTCAGTGGGTTAAAGCCTCTGCCTTCAGCTCAGGTCATGATCCCAAGGGCCTGGGATCGAGCAACGAATGGGGCCCTCTGCTCAGCGGGAAGCCTGCTTCCCCCCCTCCCCACCTGCCTCTCTGCCTACTTGTGATCTCTGTCTGTCAAATAAATAAATAAAATCTTAAAAAAAAAAAAAGAACTAGTAAACAAATTTAGTAAAGTTGCATGGCATAAAATCCATACACAAAAATCTGTTGTGTTTTTATACACTAACAGCAAACTATTAGAAACAGAAATTAAGAGACTAATTCCAGTTACAGTTGCAATAAAAAGAATAAAATACCTAGGAATAAATTTAACCAAAAGGTGAAAGATCTGTGCACTGAAAACTTAGAAGACATTGATGAAAGAAATTAAAGAAGGCAGACTAAATTGAAAGATATCTCCTGTTCATGGATCAAAAGAATTTATATATATATATATATATATATATATATATATATATATAT